AACGGAGCAGCCCGGCCCTGCGCCGCTCTTGGGCCTGCAGCTGGGCAGCTCCCCGGCAGCCTGCTCCGAAGTGGGGGTGGCTGGTTAGCCGTGCCAGGGGGTGCTCTGCGAGCCTCAGCAGGCCGGGCAGAAGCACCAGCCGGCTCAGAGCGCCCCGCCCCCGGGACCTGCCCCCGTGGCCGTGAGCGGGAACCCTCCCAGCACGCACACCTGCCGGGCGGCTGATGTCAGGAACGGCATCTCCCCGTCCCGCTGGGGTCCTGCCTGCCCCACCCCGGGCCAGCTGTCGAGGAGGACCAAAGCCGGAGTATGGGTAGCAGAAACTGATAGAAGCAAAAACCGGCACCGTAGAATGTCAATAACAGCTCCCGGGAGCAGATTTTGAGAGCAGCTGCCCACGTGGAAAGAGAGACCTAGAACCCCTCTCCTGGGATCTCCTTTCTCTGGGGGGCGGCTCAGATTTGGAAGCTGGTTTTCCTACCCCACTGGCTGTCCTCAGCAACTGCATCTCCTCTAGCGCCTGGCAGGTTTGCCTCCCTCCTGTGACCTGGGCTCTCGCCCTTTTTGCGTGGTCCCCGTGGGACCGGCAGCTGAAATGAGTGCGAATCAGCGCGGCACGAGGCCTGCTATAGAGCAGCTTCAGGGCTCTTGCAAGTGAAGGCAGCGCCAGGGCGTTTGGGTCCCAACTCAGCCCCCATCAGGTGCACAGCACGTCAGAGGCCCAGGGAGCCGCGGGAATGCCCCACCAGGGAGGTTTGGTGCCAGTGGCTAAAGAGCCATGGGAATTCCTTCAGCATGAATCCCGGAATGGGATCCAGTTTTACCTGTGTGTGGGCACCTTCCAGCTAGACAGGGGATGCATTTGCCAAGCTACTAGGGACATCTGGGGTGAGCCCACGGTGGACTAAGGGGTCTAACCAGGTGTGAGGCTATAGCAGCGTGGGCTGCGATGGGACAGTGAACACAAGCCTCAGTTGAAGACTGAAGCCTCCGCTGGAGTCTTGTGTCCAGTTCTGGGCTCCACATTCCAAGGAAGATGTGGAGAAATTGGCAAGGGTCCAGAGCAGAGAATGATGGAAGGTCTAGAGAACATGAGCTACGGGGGAAGACTGAAGGAACTGGGCTTGTTTAGTTTGGAAGGGAGAAGATTGAGAGGGGACATGATAGAGGTTTTCTAGTATCTAAAAGGGCATTACCAGGAAGAGGGAGAAAACTTGGTTGCCTTGGTCTCTGAGGCCAGGACAGGAAGCAACGGGCTTAAACGGCAGCGAGGGAGGTTGAGGTTGGACATTAGGAAAAACTTCCTGCCTGTCAGGGGGGTGAAACACTGGAATAAATTGCCCAGGGGGGTTGTGGACTTTCCATCACAGGAGATATTCAAGTGCAAGTTGGACAGACACTTGTCAGGGATGGTCTAGTTGGTGCTTGGTCCTGACGGGAGGGCAGGGGACCAGACTCGATGCTCTTGCGAGGTCCCTTCCGGTTCTATGATTCCTGGCTGGGGGAGACAGCCCGTAGCATGTGCAAGAGTGGTGTGTGGCTTTCCAGCTCTGTGCAGACGTTGACCAAGCCTAGATCCCCAGGAAGTAGTGGGTGACTCGCTCGTCTTATCGCCCGTTGCAGAGGGGGAAACTGAAAGGGAGGCGAAGTGGCTTGCCTGGGTCACAGGGCAGCACTGAAATGCAGCCAGCGTGGCCGGAGGGGCTCCTTCCTCACCCACTGCCCGGGAACAGGTGTACCCCACCCTGCCCTGGACTGCCTGTGCTCATTTGCCCTCAGTGGCCCTGCTACAGGGGCTTGGCTCGCGGGTCATGGGGGGACCAGGGCAGGCCTGGGTGTTTGTGTAAGGCATCCTCGCATCGGAGGGAGGCAGAGGGAATGCAGAGGCAGAAAGAGGCCCCCGGGGATTTGTTCTCCAGGGTTTCTGCAGCCACAGCCCAGCCACAGAGCCCGGGGCCCGGTCCTGCAGGGCTGGGGAGGCTCACCCTGGCAGCTGGCTTGTTCTCTGACGCAGGCTGGAAAAAAGGGGAAATGAACAAAAGTCACCGGGGCCCGTGAGTGCAGTCGGACGTGGGGAGGGACCGTTGCCGCGCCGTTGCATGGCTCAGGGCTTCCTCCCCCCAGCGACACCAGGGATACCCTGAGTTTGTCCCGTGGGCAGCTGCTGAAGGCAGGGTTGGGGGAGGCAGGCCCCCAACCCCACCTACAGCTCTGCCCCCCCCGCGGAGGCCCTGCTCCTTCCACAGGGAGGGGAGGGTGTGGGGCAGCGTGCCGAGTGCAGGTGACCCCCCCACTACATGGAGGGGAGGGGGCCTGCGTGCATCCCCCAGCCCACCCCACCCGGAGCACCAGGGAGGGTGCGTGGCCCCAGCTTCCTGACCCTGGAGCATGGGGAGGCGGGCGCCTGGGGGCAGCAACACTCCACCCCCAGAACACCTGCAGCAGGTGTTCTGTGGGCGGGGCCATGCCTGGCAGTCTGGGAAGGCAAAGCCTCCCCCTGCCTAGCACACCGGCCGCCCGTGGTCTGCCTCGTCCTAAGGCCCCTCATCCTCGTTTCTTTCCCTCCCGCGCTGCCTTCACTCCCATTGGCTCAGCGCCCGGGGAGCCGTGGGGACAGGGCAGAAGGAAACGGAAAGGACTAGATGAGGCAAGATCCTCAGTGGCGGATCATTTCCCATCACTTCTTTGCCTCCGCCACGTGCCCGGCCACTCACCGGTCCCCCGTGGACTGTGGTTGCTCCTTGCCCACGGCAAGTCCCCATGCAGCCAGATACGTCCCTAGCGCATCCCCGAGCCAGCACCCCAAGGAGACCCAGGGAGTAGGTCGGAGTCTGTATCCTAGACCAGCACCACTAATACCACTCAACCCCGCGTGGATGCGTGGGATTTCGTGGGGACTCGTTGAGATGCTGCTGGCAGGCTTCCCCCAGCTCTGGCTAAGGTCCATTGCTCCAGGGTCGCCTGCTCGCTCTGCAGTGGTGTTCTCAGCAGCAAAGCAGATCGGCTCTCCCTGTTGGTTCCCAACCGGCCCTCCCACAGTGCAGGAAGCAAGCCAATTCACCCCGCCCGCCACTCCCCGCCTGACACCAGAGGCCTGGCGCTAGGGGCAGATGCCAAGCCAAACCCGGTGGTCATGTGATCAGAAGGCAGGCCCCACCGGACTGCAATGCAACTTGTGGCCACGTCAGTCTAGCCCAAGAAGGAAAAAAACGGCTTCGGTGGACTCGTCTTTTCCTTCCCAGCGCTCAGCTGACCACTTTGCCCTGAACTTTGGCCTTTCAAATGGAAGGGTCAGGCCAATGGTTAACAGTTTGCTAAGAGGGAGGGCATGTTCCCCTGGTCTCACGCAGGGCTCTAGATCCACCCAAAGCATCGTCAGGTGGGACACACACAGGGGTGACCTTTCCCCACCCCCTACTCACCCAGTAGCAGCAGGAAACTCAGGGCTGTCATCAGAAAGGAATATTTCATGGTGTGCGGCAGGGTCACCATTCTACCATCTCTCATAAGTTTCTCTGCCGCTCCGCTCTGTTCTCCATCCTATGCCCTCTCTCTCCGGCCCTGCGCTCTGAGGTTTAAAT